GATTGCACGTCTTCTTCTCAAGTTCATCCTGTGTCTGTCCTACAGTGTATTGGATAAGGACTCTGTATTATCTAGAATGCGCTCATTAGTATTAGAATTAACAACCGAAATTGGAACAGACTCACCTAGTTCCTGGAATTGTATTTGATCAACATGCCGACTGTGTGTACTTAAGTCATTGATATCTAGCACCATAGATTTCCCGACATTCTTCAGAACCATTCCCGTGGATGGTCGAAGATCATTTCCACGATAATATGTAACTTCTGCAGACTCTAAACATCTCATATTCGACCGAAGAACCCTTCCTTTTAGAAGCTTTGATGGAGTCTCTTTCGTCACAGAGTGTCTGGCATCTTTATATTGCAGTAGAAAAGTATCTACTTCCCTCTCCAGCTCATTAAATGTTGAGGCGGCAATAGAATCAATAGCAGTTTTCAACGTCCTGACAAAATTCTCTGCCTGACCATTGGAACAAGGATGTCTGGGAGCAGTAAACAGATGTTTGCACCCTATACCATTTAACCAGGTGGTGACTGCATCTGCAGCAAAATGAGAGCCGTTATCAGTCACTAACACCATTGGAACCCCTTCTCGACCAAACACCTTTCTTAACGCTTGAATTGCGAAGTCAGAATTTGGTGAAGTTGTGAAAAAAACTTCAGGCCACTTTGAAAAAGAATCAATGGCTACAAGCGCATAGTATTTGCCAAGAAACGGACCACAATGGTCTGCATGAATTCTCTGTCAGGCCTCAGACGATACTGGCAATGGATTCCACTTCGAATGTTGATTTTTCAGCTTATGACACTTTTCACAATTGCTTGCTGTACGACAAATATCTGCATTTATCTCTGGCCACCAACACGTGAACCTCGCCAATGACTTCATTTTCTCAACACCTAAATGTCCACTATGAAAATCTTCAAGGACAGATTTACGCAGTGAAGGAGGAATAACAACGCGATCATTTAAACACAAAATACTGTCAGGAGTAGTGAATAGCTCATCCCGCTTTGAAAAATAGACAGGAAATCTACGTTTGAGATTAGCATTCCAGCCTTTCTGTATGGCATTAATTATACATCCAAAGTATCTCACTGGTAAAGGTTGCACCAACAAGCAGTCTGAAGTATTAACAGGTTTATATCGTAATGACTGTCGAGAAATGTAGTCAACATGTTGAATTTGTTAGGCACTCCTGTGCTGAACCTTATAGTCCTCGTCACTCAAAGCAATACTCCATCGTTGAACCATGGCAGCTGAGGAACGTGCTAAGGATTTTCCAGGATGATAAATAAACTTTAAAGCCTCATGATCCGTAACAATAGTTAATTTCTTTCCGAATAAATATTTATGAAGTCTTTCAACAGCCCAAAACACAGCTAATGCTTCTCGCTGAGTCTGTGAATAGCCTTGTTCAGTAACAGTAAGTTTGAGTGGAACACAAATAACTGGTCTACCCCCCTGTTCCAAAACTGCGCCAATACTCACAGGTGATGGATCAGTGATAAGCACAGACTGTACACTAGGGGAGTAAGTTCGAAGAACAACATCACTTTGGAGAAATCTTAGTAGACTTCGTAAGCATGACTCTTCTTCCTCACCACACTTGAATGAATTGGATGTCAAAATATTAAATAAACAATTTGCACGACAAGAAAAACTAGGAATAAAACGGGAATAGTATTGAAGAGCACCCACTAGTGAACGTAGTTCCGTAAGATTTTTTGGAGACGGTGCATTTGTCAGTGGAGCTAGTCGTTTCATATCTGGTCTAAAAGCATTACCATCAACTAGGTATCCAAGACATTCAAAACTCGATACACAAAATGAACACATTTAGCATTACGAAATGAACATGAATTACGAAAATGAAGTTTTCCACATGATAAACATTGACCAAACTTGGTCTCACCTTTGTGATTCCTTGTTGAAACAGCTTTCATATTTACACGAGAATAGGAATCATTGTTAAACGAACGCAAGTTTGATTGACCCTGAGATTGTATTTCATCATGACAACTAAGCAAAGTATTAGAAATCTTCATCGACTGGATATCAAATTCATTCACTGCCTCGTAGTTAATACACGCAGTTCTAGCATCTTGAAAGGAACAGTTAGGCACTCTTAACAACTCCCTCTCCAAACCCGGTATGTTAATTCCTGCGAATAATCGGTCTCTCAGTTTCACATGAAGTCGATCACCGAAATTACATTTGGCAGCTTGTTTCTGCAATTCAAGGATGAATTCCTTAGCCTTTTGCTCATTCTGACGAATCATCTTATGAAATTTCGCCCTTTCACGGCATTCAAAACTAGTGCACTTTACATGATTTAAGAATATCTCCTTAAGAGTTGCATAAGGAAGTGAGATAGGTTTTTCTGGATCTGCCAAAAATTTTAATAAGCTGTACGTTTCTCTTCCGATGAATGTCAGGAAACGTGCCACAATCTTATCATCTTTAACATCTTTCTTGGTCATGCTCCAGATTTCAAACCTTTCCAAATAATCCTCAAAAGCTTCATAAGTTGAATGAATATCTAACTGTTCCATCGCGACGCCAATATGATAATTAGAAGTATTTGATTTATAGTACGAACTAAGAATCCCAAAAATAATGCAATTCAATCAAGCAAGTTACAAATAATCTAATTTTATGACTCCAGTAAAACTTCGGAAATGCTAGCTTAACTTGTGAATGATTGTGCCACTTGCATGTTTCAAAGCCTACTGTCCTCAATGATTACATACTGAATTTTGGACGCTCAGCTGCATGGATTTTTACAGATTTTCAATGACTATTAGTTTTTAAAACACTGCCTTATGTCTCGTCGTGTGGGATCTGGAGTCCATTGTTGGAATCCCGAGTCAGAGAGAACGTCAAGCGAAAAAATAAAGACGTTTATTATTATTACCACTGCTTAGACAGTTGTAATTGATATAGTGCCAGTATTGTGATATCGGTGAGTAAACTTGTTATAGCTGTTGAATGAACGGATTCCTGTGCCACTGTTTGTTTAATAGTTCTGATTTGGCCATTGAAGATAGTTAATTACACTGTTTTTCACTTTCTATAAGAACGACGATGTTTAAACAGAGAAAAAAGTCAACCACAGATTTTCTTTAATATTTCCAGTTAATTTATTAACATGCGTTGCAACAGTAGATAGTACCTCACTTAAAGTGGGGCGATCGAATGAAAGAAACAGGAAAACAGCATAATAATGTCAAGTGTTTTAACGTGCAGATCAGTTTTTCAATATTTATCTGATAGCTTAAAACTACTTTTTTTTGTAAAAGCAGTACAATAATGTTCGTAACATTGTATGTTAATAGAAAGTGAAGAAACTTATGAACTATAAACATGAATCTAATCACTAACTGGCATAGTCGAACAACAAAATCATTGAACACTCGTCTTACTCGGAACCATACTATGAAGCCATAAAATATAATATTGATTACCTAGCGAGATCGTAGTCAATGTACAAACAATATGTCGTGTTCATTAGTTTGAGTCACAAAACTTTATATGTCTGAACTTGCAGAGTTTTAAAAGTCCATCTTAAGGCATTTAGTTGTAGACACAACATGTCTCTTTTTAACTTTCCTCGTTAGAAAATCTTGTTGACATCACGAAAATTCTGAACAGTTTTACTGACGTGCGCAGCCGCAAAGAATACTCAGAGAAGTTAATCTAAGACTCAAGATGATCAGTCCTACAAAAACGGCATTTACTTCCTCTAGGTCATTTAATAGACGCCGAAGTCCATCGTTATTGTATTCTTCTAACCATATTAAAAACTACGTATGGATAGATAAGTTTGGTGTAAGTCTTATAGTTCCTACGGTTCATTTAGTCGCCCATTAAAAACTTGTCTTCCCCCGTCTCTTTGAAAATGAGATGAAAAGCCCTCAGTAGTAGTAGCGAATCAAAAATGCTTCAGGACTTGACAACGACAATGGAAGCCAATATTATTTTTCATGGTCAGGATGCGGAGACGATTGCTATGATATAAAGAGGCTTCCGAATCATCCCGACTGGATGGTCCGACTCAGGAGTTACCACGAGAATTGACCTCCAGAGTGTATAGACACGGACAGCCTCACTTTCTGTTCTGATTATTTGCAGAATCTGAGACCATCACTGGACTTAAATGGAGCTTTAGCAGGGAAACTTGGACGATCATTTATGTACATACTAACTACCCTACCTCGATTGAAGTGCTGAATTAATGAACCATCGAGCGTCCCAACTATGCGGAAGTTATGTCTGGCGTCGTTGTAGGCTTCACTATTCTTCCCAACAACTAAATCTGCGCTTTAGAAACTTTAAAGCATAACAAACACATTACTGTCCTTAATATTATAACCGACCTAACGGCTGCCAATCGGGTTTATAACACCTAGACCTAAATAACCCAATTTAGTGGGATAAATACGATCTTTTTAGGTCGAGATGCTTCAGCAAACATGAAGTTAGAACCTGTTATTTAAACTATAGACCGACTTACAGTTTGGTTCCCAGTGATTTTGGAGATGTTTTAGACAGGGAAGCAATACTTAATCTCACAATTCTGGAAGGTCAAGAACCCATACTATTTGTGGTCACTTGCGAAGTCTTTTAGGTGCGCTCTGATTCGAAGGAATTTGGTTATCTTTTAATTACATGGACCGCCCATAAATACAGATACTAACAAGGCACAAAATACTTGTATAAAAACGCCGATATGGTTACTCGACTTCAGGACAAATCCTCAACCTAACTTCTGACAACGCTTGCAACCACTTATCTGCCTATAATATCTAGACGAGAATCATTATTCAGAACTGTAAACAAGTATATATCCAGAGAGAAAGACGTATTTCCCTTGGCACTACCAGGTTCATCAACCTCATATGTCTTTTACGAACTGCCACCACTTGATGCTGAGTCACATTCATTCCGAGTATGAAAACCGTCTTCTCAGTGGATGAACAAAAAATTTCGATAGCCGTGTACCAACATTCTATGTCGACAAGTTCTTGCCAGGATCTACTTTCAGTATTCAAGTAACATCCTCAGATGTGATCTAAAAGCTGATATCGTCGTAACGATATCATATTCACACACTCTTTGTTCTTGTTTATATTCACCTATAGGTCTACTTTTTTGACTGTATTATTGCGAAGTATATCAGTTATAGAATCCTTTAACTTCGCAACGACGAAGTAAGACGCATACATAGATTCCCATTTATAGCCAAGGAATACAAAATTAAATAAGTTGAAGATAACCATTTTCAAACCAAGAGATATTCTATTTATTAATGCATTCGGATTTACAACTGTTTTCTCGCCGCATCGTACGATGATATTCTTTCAAGGTTATACCAGCTGCTTGAAGACGGGACTTAAAGATATCTTTTGTGTCTAATTTGTTCGAGTCTTTAGCATACTTCTTTTTCTTTTTTCCTAATTTCATCCGCTTTTCTGAATCTTTGGTATCGTTTTCATTTTGCTCTATTGGATTAACATTGTTGCTATTATTATTGTCATTATCACTAAGTTTGGCTCCCTGAGCCTCTGAATGGAATCGTTTTTTCCTTTTATGACGTCTGCGCTTTTTTTTCGATGACCCACTACTACTGAATTATATTGGTAAATAAAAACAAAAGGATTATGTTACATTAATGTTCTATGAAACCCCTCATAAAATCACAAAATTTTATCAGAAAGCAATTTAAATGAAAACTTACAAGAACGACTACTTGAAACATTGAAATGACCGTGTTATAAAAAAGCAAAAATCATAAGGTAACATAGTATTTTACCGTAAATTTAAGAACTGATTTTAAATAAAACAACTGCATATGAAATCCATTGAAATGTTAACTAGTTTGTACTGATTTTATTAAAATTATGGAAATACGGAAGTCATAAATGGTTGAAAGTAATACATTTTTCAAACCCCAGATAAGCATTAGAGCTTTTCATATCAAAAGTATTCACAAGAAAACAAATCACAAATAAGGACTAGTTAGTAACTTCAGAGAAAACAAACGAATATTTTCTCTTGTTTTATGAATTACAAACTTATATTCAGCGTTTACGCTACTGTAGATCGGACGAGAAAAAAAACCCACTAAATCAAATAACGGATTAGGCGCCGTAATTCTAAGCAACACTGCTTATATATACAAGGTGAATATTCTTCTGAATGATCAGGCCAAACTTCAAAAACTTGGATCAATAGAAAGATCGATCATCAACTAACTATAGGATTAAAACACCTAAAACAACAGCAATATACTTTTCAGTATACATATGATGGACTAGAACCTTCTGCTCTGTGGCTTACATAAGTTTCTCAAACCAGTGGTTCCTTTAAACACGATTCTAGATATCTCAAAATCACCATACCGTTCAACAACAAAATGGTTGGTGAACGTATTAGAATCACAACACCAACACTTGGTTAGGTACATAGTTAAAGATGTAATCAACTTTGTATACGCAGTAGACGATAGGATAAAAGATAAAACTATTTTATCTTTGCCTACAAATATTCCACTGACAGAAACCATTAACTACATATGTGAAGAAATTCAAGTTACCAATAACAGAAAATAAAATGAAGGAGCTCTTGCTGAGATGAGCAAGGGATATCTGCTTCATGAATAATAACAAATGATATAGACAAATATATGGAGTAGTAATGGGATCTCCCCTAGGTCCGGTGTTCGCTAATATTTTTCTAGACATAGTGGAGAATGGGGGAAGATATCCGAATAAGCTAGGTTATTATTGTCGATATATAGATGACAAGCTAACCGTGAGTGACTACAGTATTAATAAACAAAAGATATTGAACAATATCAAGAAAATTCATTCAGCTATCAAATTTACTAGCGAGGAGGATTATGATAACAGTTTAGCTTTCCTTAATGTTATCCTTTCTAGAAAGATAGACGATTCCATAAAAAGGAATCCATTTAGAAAGGATACTGATAGGGTGGACTCATCAGAAGTAGCCTAGCAGTGACCTGAAGGACCTAGGTGTTTCATATGCTAAGAAATTGATTGATTTCCTAAGGTTCAGAGTTGTATATATATAAATGAGTATTTGTGCATTTTATTGGGTAGCCCAACATACTTTCCTATGCATTATTGTGTTTTCCCTCAAGTAGTCAGTTGGGAGGTTAGTGCATAACACAACGTGTATCAGTATCAGATTTCGGACACTGCCCATAATAACAGATACATAGACTGGTCAGTATACTTGTTTTCATGACTTTATATCTTTTAATACGAAACAAATCTAGTCAGATGTTTCAGCCATAGATTCAGACTATTATGTTTTGAAAATGATGTAGATGGTGAAATAGATATACTAAAAAAATACACTACAAAATAACGGCTACCAATACAGTTTCGTCAAAAAATATGCATTGTAATGTAAAAATAGGGCAAACTCCAACATAGTCACCAAGAAAACTCTTTTGCTAAAACTTGATTTTAAAGGGGATATATCGGGTGATACTTTAACACATCAACTGGGAAGATCAATTAAAAGATACGAAAGGCCGCCAAATTACATATTAAACCGATATAGACACATGGAGTAGCCCATAACCTGCAATCTCATCGATTCGTTGTGTGAGAACACGATTTATTTTATTATTGTTATACTGAATACAACTTGACACTGACAACGAATCATTCTGACCTTTCTAATTTACAAATGACACAATTCAAAAGTATTTATGCTGTAGTATATGCAAAAGTTTGGCCTCTTACTAACAGTTAAGAAGGGTACTAAGAATGAAGGAATAGTGGATTGCTATGGTGGGACGAATATTCTCAGAAGGTGCTAATTTTTGGAACTATTTTACAACCGTTATGTGTATTTCTATTGTATAATTATTGAGTAACAGGATTATAAAATTCCCATACTCTCCGTATTGTAAGCTTCAGTTGGACTCAAAGACTACATTTCATGGTTCCTTAATTACTATCAACTCATTATTTACTCTTTATTCCATTCTTGATCATTTGTAAATAGATAATGCATAAGCTATACTTCTCTGTTTGAAGCCATTATGGTCTGACTATGTATTTATGAAAACTCATGAGTGTCAGAGTTACACTAAATGGTGGAAGGTTTGTCTGCTACTATATTCTCTTGCCCAAACTTAAAAAAGTGCATTCTGACCTAATAGAAGTCTGGAAAACATGTGAGTGAAGAAGGTTAGTTGTTGTCAGTCAGTGTAATTGGTGGATTTTATCTGAGGACCGACTGAGATGCGTATCAGATATTTGGCGAGACTATAATTAATGGACGAACCAATCAGATTTTGGCGTAAAATTCATTCATCTATTTGGCTAGGTAGCGTTTTGGGATTATAGTTGATGTCAGTTCGTGATAAATCCCCCAATTCTAATTCCTAGTCCTAACGTCTCACATTTTTAACCACTAGACGCGGATCCTAATCAGGTACCTTGTATTAAAGGTCAAAAAACATGATCGTAATCTTATGTTACAGATGAACATCTGCCGTCATTTTACGTTAGACTGACTTCGCAGGTCGAATGTTCTATTTTTCGACCACTATTTACCTACCATAAACTTATTACGATAAGAAGTCGGTTTCACTCGCCAAAAAGTCCTCAAGTTGAAGTACGAGATTAAAAGGGAAATTATAGCTGAATAGTCTCACATAGTAGTGAAATAAACGTTTGTTCGTGATACAAATTAACTTCAAACTAACAAATTTTGAAAAACCTTTCTTATATACAATAACAACGAACGTATAATGATAAAAAAAATCCTGAGCTTGTATAGTGATAATAATAAATTCGTACGATGAAAATTTAAGAAAAGTTAAATCAAAAAAGCTCCAATTCCTTCATGAACAAAAGCTCGGACACCATTTTATTGTAAAATTCCAAAACAAACGCTTAATCACAATAACAAAACCAACCTTTACGCAAAACTTGTTAATATACACTTCTAAATATCAAAACTCCAAGTTAATTCATTTATATTACAAATAATATTGTGGAATAATGGATAATGGCTTACCTAGTAAACAAAATCTTGTTACCTGTGAAACTTAACAAACCTCATTCTGATTCGGCAATTTCATGGATGAACACTGCTGACAAACTCAAAACTAATGGATAGGAATAATCCAGTTATTCTTTTATGGGGAAATTAAGGTACACACTGCCCACTTGTTTGGTATCACTCAATAAGGAAAATTATTTATCATGTTTAAGTATTTATGCCTTCTCAGAAAAGCATTCTTTTTGTTGGAATAGAGAAACAACAACACATTAACAGAGTAAATACAAAACAAATATATTCCATGGCAGAAAAAAGAAATGAGATCAAGTGGTATACAGTAGTGGTTATATAAATGATTAGTATCATTGTTATTAATTATTACTAAACGGCTGATTACCTATACATTTCATCTTTTTAGACTCTTGGAAATTCTTTTTAACAAGCTGGAATTATTTACGTGATGATATTGAGTTACATGATATCAGTGCAAAATGTTAAGAAATAATTTAGTCACAAACACATAAACACAATAATTAGCTAACCTTTCAATATCTTGACTTTCATTAGGATACCAAGTAGCGTTTGGATTATTCAATGAACCTAAAACACTCATTTTACGTTTTATTTGATAATTAGAACTATATAGTTCTTGGTCTTTCATTTCTTCTTCATGTGACCTATCAAACAGAGTGCATAGTATAAGGGGAAAACGTCAAATAACATATTTATGGATTTTCAACAACGAATTCCTCAAAATATAATAACTCTTCAGTTAATGAAGAATAACGTATACATCTCAGTAAATTGAGTAGTTCAACTAAGTATCCTGCATAATATGCGTCTAAACAGTTATAGAAATTAGAAAAGCATTCATCGACAGATATAATTTCAAGAATCTTTAACCAGAATATTATGCTTGAATAGAGATGTGCAAGATAAATATAAAAACAATCTAATTTTAATTATATTATAGGTTCGATATAAACTAACAACATTTTGTAAATGAACTGCTCATTTCAAATAGTGTATAGAATAATCGAAGAGTAATGACGATTCTAAAAAAACAAGTTTTAAATGCCACAGATGCTGATGCATTTCTGAAATTTCAGTTCGACACCATTTTCCATTCTCCTGAAGTAACAAATAAGTAAAGGAAGTGGATTTAGACAATTACTTTTCCCTGTTTTCGAATTAAGTATTTTTATTTTCTAGATAGAGAAAATGACTTTTTAAGAATATTACATACAAATAACAATAAACAACACTTACAAATAAGCTGTGATACGTTTTAACGACACCCATGCATTCAATTCTTTAGGATCAGCTTTTAGTATTTCTTCTGTACTTAAGCCAAAATCATTTGGCATAACATTACGATATTTGAAACGACAGTAAAGGTCTTCATTGGAAGTAGGACCGGGTATAATATCTTCACAATGTAACTGGTAAAATTCTTCAAAGTATTTCTATAGATTGCGAGATTTACACATATTTGTTATTAAGGGAAACAACAATTACAACAATGACCATATGACAAAATTGATCAAAGTCACATCACAGAATCACGCTAATGATAAATCGAAGACAGTTATTCAGTGTATTTGATTCTTCTTGGCTTAGCTTGTTACTTTTAGAATGACAACAATCCTTCTGTAAGTGAGAACTAACTACAAGTCTCTAACTCAGGTACCCATTGTATAAGCAATAGAGATTGTGTTAAATAAGACAGGTAAAGTGATATTTGAACCTGAGATCTAATTACTGAAACCGATTTGACCACAGAACTTCTTAAATCGTAGAAGATAATCAACAGATTTCAATTAATATGACATTCACTACTCTATCACTAAATAATCACAAATATTTATAAGCCAACAGTGACTGTGACGATCAATATGACAATCAAGTAAACTCTTCAAAGTGAGCAAAACGCAGTCCAAAAACATTGGTCAAGTAGCTTATTGACTGCTGACTAGATAATACAGCATAAACAGGATCCTTCTAGCAGTGGAACACAGGACACGATCGATTATTGAAATGCTGATTATTAGTTAACACATACAATGATAAGGCCGCCATTATGATACTGTGTGTTGACCGCTGAATGAATTTTATGATTTGAGACAATAGTGTAATTACGAATAGCAACTTGAAAAGTGAATAACCACGATGCACCAAGTGCGCGACCCAAAGTTATTCAGGTCAAGGTAAGATCACGATAGAAGATACCAGGTTTTTATAATTTAAAACTCTTAATTGTTTCAATATCATCGTCTTAAACAGTGAGAATCATATCGATTTACAATAAACTAATGGAGAGGGCAACTGGACAAACAAAATTATTTCAGACAGCATCGGCTTCGATGGCTTTGTTGATTTAGGGTAACCAGAGAACATATGGAAAATCGAAACGTCCGAAAAGTTCCAAGTAATAACCAAACAAGCACTCTTTGGGTCATATATATATATAATACTGTGACTGAAACTCAGTCATTAATGCTTGAATTCTAGTTCAAACTGAAAAGCGCTCAAACGACACCACCTAAATGTTAATTATCAAGTATTACAGCCAATGTTTAAAGGTAGCATATACTTATATTGTAGAAAAAGATTACACTTATTGGAAAAATATTGTTTCATTTTAAGTTAGAAATCTGACGGTCTATAAGTTAATTTTGGTCGGAATCTAGGTTGCTATTAACTTCGATAATCACATATCTAAAGCAATTAGTCCCTTTTATAAATTTCGATAGAACAATGAGAAGACAGAGTTGATCTGAAAACTGTGATGTATTTGTGCCATACATTTCGAACAATCTGGTCACACATATTCTTGTCAGGGCATTTTAATATGAAAATTAATAAAGGTCAATTACATGAAAGTTAAAGTACAAACAAACAAACAAAAAAATGAACGTCATAAACACTGAGGAGTTTAATTTACTAGAACCTTCAGGTTCAGTTCTCCCGAATTTATATGGATTACCTAAAATTCATAAACCTAATATACCATTACGACCAATTTTGTTTAAGCGCGGTCCACCCACACATGAGCTAGCTAAATGGCTAGTAAAATTGCTAAACCCAATTCGTACTAAACTATGTAAGTTTTCTTTAAAAGATACATTTGAACTAATTGATCTTCTTGGGGACATTAATATTAAAGATAAGTCTTTGTATTCTTTTGATGTAAACTCTTTCTTCACGAATGTACCGTTAACAAAGACGGTGGATTTCCTTTGTGACTATATTTTTAAAAATTTTTTCGTTTTTTCTATTCCGTTACTATTGTTGAAAGAATTACTTTTATTACGTACTGCTAATGTTCGATTCACGTTTGATGGTGAATATTTTCGACAAGTTGATGGTTTAGCTATAGGTAGCCCTTTGGGGCCTCTCTTATCTGATGTATTCATGTCATATGTAGAAAATATGACAAGCGAGCTTATTAGTAAGGCAACTCTATATAGAAGATACATGGACGATATTTTAATTATATATGTTAAAGATTTTGATGTTTACCGATTATTGGATAAACTCAATAGTGTTCAAGATGATGTCGTGATGACATATGAAGCAGAAAGTAATGGCCAATTGGCCTTTTTAGACATACTTTTAAGTCAAAGGGATGATGGCACTATTAGACGGTCAGTGTATAGGAAACCTACCTGGACGGGACAATACTTAAATTTCCATAGTTTTTGTCCATTGCAATACAAGCGAAGCTTGGTTAAGTGTCTCTTTAAGAAGACTCAAAGGATTTGTACATCTGACACGGTGGAAAAAAATGAAAAGTTACTGACTGACACATTAATAGCAAATGGTTATCCACTAAAGTTTATTAATAGGTGCAAAAGTCAGTTAATACCAAGACCTTGTTTATTCAGTTCCAAAGAAAAAAGTGTATATCAATCTACCATATAGAGGCGAATCCAACAGCATAGTTTTAAGACAGAGATTGAAAGTAGCGATCGAGAATACCTATTATGCTGCTCAATTGGTTGTGATTGAAAAGTCTAAGGCCATGATTCCTAGTAGACCCAGACAATGCACCAATGATTAAGTCACATCCCATTGTATTTACCAATTTACATGTTTGTGTGGAACACATACATAGGGAGCAGTAATAGAACAATGCAATCAAGGGTCAATGAACATGTGCCTAAATGGCTTCAAAATCAATGTGTGTCAAACGATCTGATCAACGTGGGTGGTAGAAAACCAGGATCATAGATAGCGAAACATATAATTGAAACGGGGCACAAAATTGACATTAGTACAGCTTTTAAAAATTGTATAGAAATTGTCAAGGACGAATTCTTAAGTTTATTGAAGCCTTGGCTATTCATAAATTTAGACCCCCTTTATGTGTACAAAAACAATTTGTCGTAACTTTGAATTTACCTTGGTAATCCTTAAGTAATTCTATGGCCTAGGATAACGCGACAATTTCTTATTATTTCTCTCCCCTTTGTTACTTTTTTTTGTTTGTACTTTAACTTTCATATAAAATGCCCTGACAAGAATATGTGTAAACCTGGAAAATACATACGTTAATTGTTGCAAATATAAGCATGAAAAAGAAAGTTGTAATACAAAATTCACATCCGTATCACATGTACTTTTAATGCTTAGTATTACTTTCTAATGTGCAACACAACACAAAACATTTATTTATTTATTTGAACACATAAATATTGGAACAAAGGGGCACCAAATATATATGCGCCACACAAAACAATGAGGAGTTTAAAGAGAAGGGAAGAAAAAAACTAACGAACAGATTAGTGTAAGGTAGTGTAATAGTAGTAATAATGGGAGAAACGAAAAGGAACAATCAGGAGAAATCTCTCAGTTAAGGAAGAAGCAACCACTCTTTACGAAGAAAGTAAAAGAAGGTTACAGCAGGATCGCCACTGGCTTCTATTCTGAGCCATATCTGATAACGTTTCCAGCCACTGTGTTACACCATCTCTCGGACCCCAGTCAGGGAGTCGTGAAGGACCAACACAAGCCAGCCCTTTGCAGCTTTCTTTCATACCACGACACCATGTCATATACTGACCACCTCTCCGCTGTTTCCAACCTGTCCCAGAGTCGGCAAATAATGCACGACGTGGAAATCTCTGGGACGACATTCGTAGAACATATCCAAGCCACTGAAGTCGGTGTTTCAAGATGGTGACACCAATTGCATTATCGTCTCTGTGCCCGAACACACGATGCCGAACCTCTGCATTACTAACATAGTGTTGCCACTGGATGTCAGCAACCCTTCGGAGACAGCGATGATCAAACACAGAGAGTCGTCTAACATCCTCAACTCGAAGAGGCCAGGTTTCACAAGCATAGAGCAAAACTGCTCTCACCGTCGCGTTGTAGATCCGAACTTTTACAGCCAGACTAACATCACGAAGGCACCAAAGATGGCCCAGATTGGCATAAGCCACTCTGGTTTTCACTATACGTGCATTGATCTCATCATTCACGCCACCACCAGCAGCACTTATGCAGCGACCCAGATACACGAACTTCTCGACTACTTCTATCTGCTCACCATCCAGAGTGAGGTAAGTCATCTGGGTCCGGTGATTTGTAACGTTTCAAGAGTTGGAGTTCCTTGCGGACTTCCGCCTCACTTGGTGGATCAGTTGTCACCGGCCATGGAGGGCAGGACAGTCTGACCGATGTTGCCGGAGCAGCAGGCCAGTTGAACTGCCCTTCGAAAATTTCTGCCCATCGTCCAAGACGTCGATGGATGTTAGTGATTGGCATCCCGTCATCCTTGCAGATTGTTTCGCTCACACCAGACTTCTTGCTGCCAGTGGCTCGGATGAGTTGGAAGAGCTTCCGGTAGTTACCAGAAGTAGCTGCTGCTTCCAGCTCATTAGCACGCTCCGACCACCAGGCTTCTCGGTCCTTACGCAAGCTTTGCTCGATTTCATTACGTAACATCCTTTGTCTGTGGTCAAACTCACGGTCACCCAGAGTAGACCGACGGGCTTCAATCAATTGTAAGGAACCAGAAGAAACCCAGTGGCTTATAAGCGGGACGTTTCGCGAACCCACAACAGACTGTACCCGCCATTTTCATGGCGTCATGCAATTGCAACAAATGCTTATCTATACTTTTCGGTGGAATGGTAGCTAGCCTGGAACCTAGCTCGATTCGATACTTACTAGCAATAGAAGTTGCAACCAGCTTGCTAACATCAATCCTTTGGTGGCGGTCACTTCGTTGGCCACTAAAAAGTAAGGTAAGATTGGCGCAGACCAGAGCATGATCAGATTCCAGATAGGTACTCCAAAAGGAGCGGCAGTCTTGTACACAACCACGCCGGCGGTAGCTGATCTCGATGTGATCAATCTGAGTCCAGGCTTGAGATGTAGAAGGAGGACGCCAGGTGGCACATCGGCGATGACTGTGCCGAAAGTTAGTGCTAGCCAGAAACAGGTTGTGGTCTGT